GTCTATCGTTCCATCATATTAGTCGATCGTTAATCCTTTTCACGAATGTGGCAAAGGAACTTCGGAAATTCCGTGTTTTCGGTCTAGGGGTTGAGTTTGATACTCTTTCTAAGGGAGCAGTCAAGTTGGAGTACGTCCGGGGAGGATGCGCGGGAACTATATAGTTGCTCCCGCATTCTGGATATGGATATAGTTGGACTTCCTGGATCATGCTCTCCTTCATTCTCTTCTAGTCGTTTACTAATTCGATCATTCTCCCTTTTTAACGCTGTTATTTCCTTCAAAGTCTTTTTCTTGAAATTTTCAAGTTCTTTCCTCAATTCAGCTAGGAGGGTTGTTTCAGTGGATTGGTTTTCCCTTCTCAGTGGACTTTGAGGCTCTGCGTTAATCATATTTTTGGTAGATATCATCGGTTGTGTTCCTGTTCAGTCCCATGATGGGCGCCAATTATGTTCTTACAAGACCGAACATGAATCGACCCTTCTATCCAATCAGTTGTTGGAGATCTTGGTCGTCGCCCGAGAATCTTCGACGTGTAGTTTTTGGTTCTTGGTATTCAACTCTCAGTTCTGATACATGTGAGGGGTTACTTGCAAAGACACTCTAACGCTCAAGTTAGTCAGGGTATAATGTAGTTTTTGTAAATTAGTTATTCTACCTTTCTTATAAATGCTACAAAATATTTATATGGTCATGACGGAGTGATATCATTCTAGTCTTATTGAGATGAAACTATATTAAGTCCATAGTTATGAATTACTATGTTTTTATTCTATTTTTAAAAGACCATCGAAATATTATCTTTTTTAAAGCATAAATATTAAGAAATTAAAGAATATATTTGGGATATGATTTTTCTTTTAATTTTTATCAATACGGTGCCCATATTTTTCATGTAACTAATTTATTTTAAAATTTTTATTTTAAATTTTTTTCTATTTTTTCTTTTTTATTTTATTTTTTATATTTTCACTATTTTTTTAAATATAAAAATTATAATAATTTTTTCCTATGATACCAAAGGAACCATTAAAAAAATAATCTTCTTATATAATTATAGGCAAATTACTTATTTAAAATTATTCTTGACATGAAAATGAGATCTTTTAAAATATTATACACGTATACAAAGGTTGTGTATATTAATTATGTCTATTCAATTGATTATTATTATTATTACTATTATTTTAATACTTATTTTTTTTGTTATTTTAATTAAAAAATTTTATCAATTTCATGATTTTATAATTTTATTTTTATCTAAAAAAATGATACTATAAATAGGAGAAAAAATGGATTGTTTTTTATTTGTTAAGATCATTTGAAAAATATCTTGACTACACTAATTAAAAAATTAATAATATAATGAAGAGAAAAGCATGGTCTCGTTTAAAAGATCATAGTTTAAATGAATTCACATATTCATGGTAGCATGATAATAATAAATCAAAGCGCAGTATATTTAATTAATAAAGTGAAATCTTGATAATTTTATTTATTTTGATTTAAACAAATTTACATGCCAACTATTTGATTAAATTCTAAAGTTGATATTTTTATATTGTTAATTCTCCACATCCACGGTGCATTAATTTAGTTAAGAGGACTCCATAACCACAAGTCTTAAAGTATATGTAAATACGAGTTTTAGTTTTGTTATTTAGCATTTTATTTGTAAAATGATGTTTAGCTTGCATAATGCTTCCAATAAAAAATATCTGAAGTTGATAATAAAAAATGAATGATGTGATCGGAAAGTGAAAGGTTATGTGAAGTGTGGAAAATGGATGAACAAAACATAATGGCCGAATCCGCGGCTAAATCTAATGCTTTTATGCCAAACCAGTCAAAATTAATATCTTCCCAATCAAATTAATAGCTAGCTACCTAGCCATCACCTTCTTCCTCTTCCACCATTATCTTCTCCAAGTGGAGTACCATTTTACATGTTATTATTTTTAATTTTTTTAACAAATAAGAAAAATTGTTTTCTCTCAATCTTACTATGACTATTGAAACTGGATCAAACTATTTTGTTCGATTGGCGATGTTAAATCAATTTCCTATTGGTTGTGGTGTAAAAGTGGTGATATACATATAATAAATTTAGTATTATTAATTTGATCTTATTAAACTTTGAACTCTTGATTGGTTCGAATTTCGAAAACATTTTTTAAAATATGTTCGGTGAATAAATTATAATAAAAAATCGTAGAGCAATGTGAATGCTTGTGTGAATAAATACAAATGATTTACTCGTAGAGTAAGTTAATCAACGCGTACGAGTGTGTAAGTGTATCCTTCTAATATATTATTAATACACTAAAGTATAATTTTTTATTCAGTATACTTTCTAAGAACTTTAAATTGAAAAATAACTTGATTAGTTTAGAATTCTACAAAAAGGAATTAATAAATTTAGATTATATATAATCATAAATAAGTAGTTAAAATCGAAACTAGTTAATCATATCATATGGCTTCAAAAAATATGCCATGTGGAATTATTTCCAAATATTAACTGCATAAATAAAAAAACCAATTGTGTTTTTGTTTCTCAAAACTAGTATTATTATAATGTACAAGATAAGGTAATTGTGTATTTTAGATGAATAAAGTTTATAACAAATAAATACTTTTAGATTTAAAAATTATATTAATTGAATATTGCAAAGTGTGAATATTTTTAGACATTCAAATTATATTTTAGATTTAAGATAAACAATTTTAGTGATAGAAAGTTATTTTTAATCATTGATATATTTAAAAATTAAAAATGAAAAATAAAGAGGAATGCTATGATAAAAGAGATATATAAGAGATTAAAATAATCTAAAATTCTCATCAAACAAAAAACTCTTAAAAATAGTCTTGTTGAATAAATATCTTGAAGATGTTCCCATACAATCAATTTAATTAATAAGAAAGAATTAACAAAAAAAATTAAACTTAATATTTAACGTAATTCAACTAATAAATTGAGGTTTTTATTTTATTAACTATATTATTAATTAATTAATATAAGACTAGACTGTCATTTTGAAGGTTACAATTAAGTAAATTTCAATAATAATAATAATAATAATAATAATAATAATAATAATAATAATAATAATTACAACTATTATTAGTTAGCACGATTTTCTTATCAAGAGTAGTGTTATATGAAACAATTTACCAATTTTTATAAATTTTTTAAAATTTATATAAGTTTATATAGTTATATATAATATATATAATAATTTTCTATTAAATGTTATTTTAATATTTTTATGTTATTATTTAATCGTTTTCTCAATCACTTTTAGATGGGAGAAGTTAACTTTTGATTTTGTTAAAATTATTATTAAATATATGAAAATTTTGTATTTTATTTTATTAATTTTATATATTTGACCCGTCTATAACTATTTCATAATCAATAATTTTATATATTTGAACACTTTATTATAAAATTCTTTGTTATAAAATTGTATGTAGTTAAGAATATAAAAACTCAGAAATGAAATCCTGAACTAATTGGAAAGGAGTAGTTGATATATGACAGGTAAATAATTTTGGAGCTTATCAGAAGATATCCAAAACCAGAATTTAATCTTGATGGTACCAACATCCTCATACCAAATCGAAACCAACCAAAAAATATCCAAATTTCCCCAAGAGTTTTACTACACCCAAATGATTAGTGAAGTGAGTTTTCCCTTTCACAGCCCCACCAAAATAGGTGTCTAGCGAACTCTTGAATATGATTGCTTAATGGACAAAACATTGAGGAGAGATCCAGACAGATATTTCCTTGGGCTAAATCATCTAACTTGGAATCCTATCCAGAATCACCAACCTTGTATACGTGAAGGTTAAGACCTTGGGAGGTTCCAAGCACTGCCATTGAAGTCATTCAAAAACATAACTTTACCATCCCATCATTCTTTTGGCTCCTTAAAACACTCCTCTTTCACCACTTACAAACTTGATCTTGTACGAATCTTCACTGCATGGTTAACATCTTATCATGTTTTCGTGGTTCACGTGTTAATTTAACTACACCACTTTATACGTTTGCATCATGTTCTTTAAGCATTTTTGTTTTTCATCCAAAAATTCATCATCACTATACCTTATTACCACATCCGATTCATTGTTCGTAAAAATTGACAGTCAACTAGTCACAGTACCTGGAACGATAAAAATATAGCAATTTGTCTCCCATTATTGCATCACGAAGCGGGAATTTTGCCTTTAATGATTGAATAATTGAACATAAAAACCAAGAACTTGCATTACTTGGCGATCATAATAATAATTCCATTTTTGGTGGCCTTGCCAAGTGGTAGAATGGCAGCGCATCATGAATATTTTTAGTGGCAACCCCACTCATAATTCCTTGCCATCTATGGTGCTTCCTCTTCCAACAGTAGTACTGTCACAACAATCGTCTCCAGCTATAAATTGCCACATTTTGCAGCACAATCGTCGTAGCCTTCAAACATTTACCACATAACTTGGTACTAACTAGTATACATATCTAAGAAATCTTTATATCAGTATATTAGTTTCCATGTTCTATATTTAGTTTAAGCTTGTTAGTTAGTTGGTGATCGAGGATCAGTAATTTATACGATAAGCTCTGATAACTCACGGATAACTAGGTTAATTTTTTCTTTAAACTTGGCTTTAAGCTTGCAATAAACAACAACAACAACAACAACAACTACAATTTAATTAAATTTAAATTTTGGTCATAGTTAAGTGTCAAGAAGATTTAGTTTCGTTGATGTTTAATGGTCTAAAGATCCTTCTTGTGCATGAAAACTTAGTAAGAACTTTGTTACTTGTGTAAGGATGGGAATATATATACCCCACCCCTTAGTCCTATATAATATTATGTGTTTTTGCTGATAACATTAAATGAAATAAAATATAGCTTATAACTTCATTATTGATTAATTTTGATGGCTGTTTATTTACTCCTTGTAGACAGGTTTGGCAAATTGTGAAGCATGAGGACCTTATTACTTGCAGTCTTGTTTGGGTTCATTATGATGGTGACCGTGGTGGATGCTGGTGCAGTGAAGGAGGAGGATGAGCAAAGAGGAAAGGGAAAACGCTATCTACTGAGTGAAACTATTCTTGGTCGAAAGGGCATGGGAAGCGACACGAATGACCACCCCATGAAGGATTCTGCAAGTGCAAACACCAATACTGCTGCTTCTGTCAATGGTAACAAAGGAAATAATAACGATGACACGAATGACAGTTATCAGAACTATAGCAATGGTTCAGGACCAGTCGTTAACAGCCACCACTATTTCCATATTCGCACTCCACCCATTCACGGTTAGTTTGTAAGTTGGAGTGAATGGTGATGGTGTTGCATGTACTGATGAACACACCTGTTAAATAAAGTGCAACTAGAATATATGTTTATGTGTAAGTGTGCATGTTAGTTTCACTACGATTAAGCTATACTCTCTCTCTCTCTCTCTCCATGTGTTTGTTATGATGTAGTTTTGTTATGCGTCTCTGGTTACTAGGGCAACTGCATGTTTGAATGATTTTCTGTTTTTGGTTGATTTTCTAGGTTAAGAAGACTAGGGAAAGAAGCTAAGGTAGTTCTCTGGTTTCATCTTTCAGGACTTGTTAGGATTGAGCAGTGAATACAAGGATGAGAAAAGAAGAGAAAGAGAACAGAAATTGAAATTGTTTGAAATGAGAAAAAGAGGGTAAAAAATAATGAAAAATGAATAAAAATATAATAGAAAATATGATCGATTAAAAAAGTTTTTTTTTTTTTAAATTTATAACATAATTTTTATTGCATTTCTCACATTTCTATATTGGATCCAGACGCACGCTTAATTTGGTAAACTTCACCTAATTAAGCTTCAGTTTAGACTTGATTTTTTTTATTAAATTCTATGTAATTACTTGTACAATAATTAAACCAAAACTACTGGAATTCAATGTGATCACGTATCAATTTCAAACAAAATTATACTATGAAATTTATAATTGAATGTTTATTAATTAATTATTTAATAAATGACAATTTTATCACATATATTACAAGGTAAGGCTATGCTATGAATAAATAACATTAATAATATAATTTGTTTCTGATTATATTAGATATATAAATTATGTACAAGCAAACAGAAAATATATCTACACGGCTGGTTAATCATTGTCATAAAAATAAGATTTAAAAAAAAAAAAGGTATGTGATTATACATATAACTTTCCATTTCTAGGAAAGTAAATAAGAAAATATGAATTATTTGATTATATAACTATAAGCATGAAAAAAAACTCAAATAACTATTTAATAAAATTAACAATGCAAGGGAAAGTAAAATATACATTAAGTGAATATTATTATTTGAAGTTTTTCTTTAATTTTGACCATCGAATCAATGTTATACTTTGATATTTATGTTGGTGGGTATGAGATCCATGGCAATAATACTAAGTAGGTGTTGATAATTGAGGATGAATTGTAGTGAAAATTTTACTGAATTTTTGAATAATAGAATTATACATATTAATGTCGGGACAATCGGATAACCAACTTGACCATTGATCAATATTATCAAAATTGATGTAATGTATACTCTTGAGGAGCTACATGCTTGTTTTCCAAAAAAGTTATGATATAGTGTCGGTACCTTGTAACCGGTCATTGCAACTCTCACTTACTCTCCAAATTTCTTGATGAATACAGAGAATCATCAATGATATGTTTGTATTGATGTGTAGAAAAGGTTTGTATTTGCTTTACTAATAACTTGTATAGGTTAGTGGTACTTGAGGCAAATTTTAACTCTTTGTTCTTTTTTTCTTTTTTTTACTTATAGATTGATGGGTCAATTCGCATTCTTATAGACTTATTACAGACAATATAAACTTATAATTTAGAATAATAATAAAATTTATATAATAATAAATAATAACAATATATATATATATATATATATATATATATATATATAAACGTGAAAACTTATAAAATTTATATTTTTTATATTGAAAAATTTAAATTCCTATATCTTTGTTATTTAATAAAATTTTATATTATTCGAAGTGATTATTACACTTTTAATTTAAGTCATAAGGATAAGAATAATTAATACTTAGGATGAACAAAAAGAAACGATGAACAACAAAGAGGAGACTATAAACAACAAGGAAAAGAGAGGAGAGAAAAACTTATATTTGAGTAAGGAGAATGTTTCTTATAATGAATGAGAGTGAGACTTATTTAATTTTTTTTTATAATTTTTAATTTTATATATTGTTTTTATAATTGACTGCATTATAATAATAAAATTTATTTTTTTATTAATTAGAGTGATCATGGGCTGACTTGTCTTGTCTTAACTAATTAGTAGGCTTGACAGGACAAGTCAAAATACTAACCTCATATTATAGTAGACTCGATAGACTGACTTACAATACCTAACCTATTTTGTCATCCCTACTTATATACATATACGTGTTGTGATGAAAAATTAGAGATGATGTATATAAAGGAAGTTGACATTATAAAGAAATTATTATAATTTTTTAAATATTGTCTATTTTGTTTTAGGATAGGAATAAATTCATATCTAGTTACTGCTTTCACTTAGTTTTTTTTTTTTTTTAAGGCAATCAATTATATTTAAGTAATGGACATCCTAAAAGACATTATATCTTTTCGTCAATACTTAATCAATTATTTAATATGCAACGAGAGTTAATCTTAGCTAAGTTTTTTTTTTTTGACAAAATCGACAATATAAAGCATCGGGTGTTACGCCATGATAACGTTAACTTTGTTGACTAATCATAATTCTCTTTTTCTTAAATATTTACTTTAAAAAATAAAGTAATTTGTTTGTGTTAATCATTGTTGTTTTATTTATTTTTACATACCATAGCTATAAAAAATAGTATTATGCTTTTTTAGTTAGCAGTCACGCAGCCTTTGTTAGCTTCGGTATTTCGTTTTCTATTTAATATGCAGAAGCTTAATAATGTTTATCTTAAAATGATCCGTCACCACGTCTCAAGTTGTAAACTATCTCTGACGATGACAAGCCTATATTGCAAATTATTTATTTGTAAATATTTTCAAAAGAGCAGATTTTTCGTCCTAATTTTTTTTTTTCAAAGCATTGCATTATTAATACAGTTCAAAAGGTAAGTGCTTTAAGTTCACAATTTATGAGCACGGACGCAATTTTTTAAAAGCAAATAATTTGACGTAGACACTAACCTAATGCATACTGCCCATAATTTTTAACAAAACCGGTTAAAGTTGAAAGAGAATTCAACCATAAATCATAAACCTAATTACATTAGAATGCTTCATTATACGCGAAAACTGACATCTTCTGATCAAATAATTGAATTCATTCAATCAACATGCTGACTGAAGATGATCCACGAACTCATACAACCTTGCTAGTCCACGAAATTTACGCGGAGATTAGATAAGCACTTCTAATAACAGCATTATGTAAAATGTAGGCAAGGGGCAAGGGTTTGGCGAATTACTAATCAAAAGTTATTTTCTGATTTCTTTCTTTTCATTTTGATGGATAAATTTCTAACAAGTGTTACATGTTGGAGCATGAATAAGTTGTCTGGGTATGAGTGACCATAGGTGGGAGCAGTATGAATGGTAAATTCTAGCAACGTGCCAATGGAGTATTTTGTGGCATTGGCAGAGTTGGCAGAATACCCGTATAAGAGATGCGTACGTGTTTACAATCATAAGAGTGTCAGTGATCGAGCGCACTTCGAACTGTGAGCGGCGAATTTAGAACTGCGCCTCTCGATACAAGGTCATGATTTAAGAATAAAACAATAACAGTTATATCGTCATGAAAATGGCGACGAACTTTCTTGTCAATCTTATAAAGGTCTGAATATCGCATTTCACGTTTTCTTGCTGCTTCGTGTAGGGCAGCCTTAATAAGTTTCTTGGCACTACCCTGCATTCACAAAATTTATAAGCACTAATGAAGAACGACATCACAGTTTAAAATACAAAATCAACAGGTTATAAGATCACCACCTCAATTTCCGCTTTTCTGAAAAGAAATAAAATGCAAATCCGTATCATAAAATTGCATTTCTAGAAACTTAATGGTACTCAACTATTCTACAACCCTTCAGCACTGGTTGACAAAGATAAAAGCATAGTGTGACCATATCAACGAGTTATCATATTGGTACTCCTCTAGATAATTAATAATCCGTCCATTATTTTTCAAGATCTAGTATATCTTCTCATCAATCCTTTTTAATGGATCAAAATTACTCTGAACATTTATATATATATATTTAACAGATCTTTTCGTCAATCTCCACTTTATTTTATTTTTCATTTTCCCAATATTGGTGTGATATTAAGATTGATACAGATTAATCACAAAGTGGGTATTCCCCTCCCAAACCGTTTTATTTCATCCTCAAAGTAAATTACCTGAAATTAATTCCTGGACCACCATGTTAAATATACAAACCATCACCATTTATGTTAAACCAAGGTTGGTATATAATTTGATTATTCTAACCATATAAGTATAATAATCATTGTACTTTGAGTTCCAAGACAGGGGAGAGAGAAAATGGGCAAAGAGAATAAGGATAGAGAAAATATTTTAATACTTCAGAACAATTAGTTTCTAAAATATATCATTTTCGTTTAAGAATTGAATATTCTTCAATAAAAAAAGGTGTTAATGGCAATATTTTTTATCAAATAGTTCGTAGATGAATAGGTTTTTTTAAATAGATTTTTAAATGATTAATATTGGATTAATATATTATTTTATCCAATCTATTATAATCCGAATTAAAATTCATTTGATTCATCCATTTTGTTTACCCATAGTGACCACACATCACATAGCTCAACGAATAGCAAAGGAGTACCAAGTAAGTAACTCATTGTATTTGATTAGAAAAATAAAAGATAGAGTGATAGTGTGTGCGTGCTTAATTTCTAGAGATTATTTTTAACAATTTAATTACGTGTTTAACAAAGTTCAAAACAAATAAAACCCTGCATTCTGTATATTAGATGACGGAAAGAAACCATGAACCAAGTGATGTCCAGTACACATCTAGGTACTACAAGAAAATCACAAGGTAGAAAAGAATCTTACCGCACGTGGACTGCTGTGAACAATATCCACTGCTTGATCATTACTCAGGTGCTCCCATAAACCATCTGATGCAAATATAAGGAAGGAATCATTTGGTTGGATTGGATGAGAAATAATAGTCGGATTAGCAGACAAGAATGGCATGTTCATTGGTTCGGGGAGTCTGAATTTCGCATTAATGGGTTCCCGGTTAAACTGCGCATGTTTCATATATACGTCACCTATAGATCTAGAAACCTGCACCAAATATCATGGAAGTGGTGACATGTATTGCCATTAATAGAGAGTGGAAAGTAACACTCAAAAATAAGATAATTATTGCAGGAGTTATTTGGAAAAACATGAACCATTAGTACCTTAAATTGAATAAAGGAATGCTGCATTCATTTTTGTCACACTCGTGATAATAATGCAAAAGGTTTCTATTCGCATAAAACATACTTGAAAACTAAGTTAACAAACAAACTTAATCGTAAATTTTTAAGTGTCTTTTAAGATTATACAAGAACCAAGAAATTAAATATTTTTTTTATAAAATAGTAATGAAATACAGTAGGTTTCATTTTCAATTTCAATTTCATTACAATTAATAAATAAGAACAAAAAGCTTCTAAAAAATTTACACTAAAAAAGAAAGTGAAGCAAGTTTAGTATAAGCAGAATTTCTTGAATTAAAAAAGTATTGTTAAGTACCAATTCTTTTACATTAGTTAAACAAATCAACTTTAAAAAACTCCTTCTTAATCCCTACACCCATCTCCCATCTTTCTTTTTCATATAACAACAACAACAATAATAATAATTTATTTTAATGAAAAAAAATTTATCTTCTGCACTTCTTTAATCTTTTCTAAAACAAGGAAAATACGATAAGCCATAACAACCCCTTCATGGAAAATATAGGTAACCTAAAAATAGGAACGGGCAAGAAATTTTCTTCATGGTTTTATAATATACTATTAATCTACCACATCAGAACTAGTTCTTAGTGCACGTTAGGCTCAGTAGCAAGTATCATTTCAATAAGCTGACCCAATGTTTTACTTTTTATCAATCAATTTTAATGTCATTCAAATCGATATAGCAAACTCTGTCTTTCTGAACTTTAACAATGAAACTAATGACACTAAACCTATAATTCGTAGACATTTCAAAGGAGCCACATGTGATCAGACTTTACAAAATACATGTATGCAGGCATTGTATTGTTGTGTTTCTTAGTTTGTGGCTGTATCATATCCTGTGTACTAAATCAAAACACTAGATTTACATTGATAGTAGACAACTCTGAAATCCGAATTAGCAAGAAAATCAGCTTATGTTTATTTATGTAGGAAGTCTAAGTTTATCACTACCAAACTCATGGAAATGCTATCTCATATACACACACACACACACACACACATATATATATATATATGTATGTATGGAAATTGTATACTGCAAAACAGAGCACCAAGTGAACATTTTTGCCTGATGTGATACATGTAGCATTAGCTATGCATCAACACCCAACAGTTCATTTGTTATTGCATTTGTCCTATTGCCAGTTGGATCTGAAATATGTCACTCCATGACACTAGGGAATCCTGGGAGTAATTGCTCAACTTGGAGTTACTCCATTCAAGCTTCCACTAGTTTCAATAAATTTGGTAAAACTACGGAAGAAAAGCGTTATGCTATTCTGATACTTACTATGCTTATATTTTTGCATTTACTGTACTGATCATATCTTTAAAAATTATTCTCAGACCTCATACTTCATATGGCAGGATTACTTTATTGGCCTATTTTTTGGTGTTTAGCCCATGGTACGGTTAGTATGCTGACAGATAATTAGATATACAAAGGGTTTAACAAATTTTATTGTTTTGATCTCCTTGATTGTCTTTTATTTGCTTCTTGCTCCTTTGTTGCTTTATGAGGATATTTTATTCGCCTCTTTTCTTTATAACTTCTTTCTACCCAATAATCTTTTATAGGGACAAAGGATATTTCTAATTTCAGGTGGAAAAAAAGTCTGTACTGGAATGGTATTGTTTAATGAATTTAATTAGAATGCAGTAACAGTGTAAAAGTTTTTTATACTGGATTAAATGGCCAAGTATGGTAAGATTGTTTACTTTTGTAATAACTACTTTAAACATCATTTCAAGAGTGGTTTCTGATTGATTGATAGTGTAAAATTACAATGACTATATGAAATTAAACTCTTGTTTGATAAAATGCCAAAAACATTGTCATCAAGCTTCACTAACTATACTTCCCAAGTCTGTCTCTGTTTCTATTACACAGAGCTGTATGCCACAACGTCTTAGCAAGTTAATATGATTAAACTTGGGTGAATGAAGGATTCACAGTAAATCGAAAAGAAAAACAGAAGAAGAATGATAGTTTTATAATATTTTTATGCACCAACAACAAAGTTAATGTATTGTAATGATAATTCTCCTTTAATCAGGCACATTGGAGGAATTTCTGTCAACAATGTTGTAGAAGATAGAGGATGGGAAAGAAAATTGATTGTATGAGAAATGTGGCACAAACAAATAATAATAATAATAATATAATGATAAATTAGAAAAAACGCTGAAAAAGAACTATACCCTAAGGCTCTGGCTTTACTTATTATTTTGAGTCTATTACATATATGATTTTCATAAACTATAGATTAAATGCAGCATGTATGTTTAGAAGCCTAAGGAGAAAGGTTCAGTTGCTTCGAACACTATTTTCCTATTACCAAAACTAAATACCAATTTCCTTCTTCACAGGACTTCAAGAAGAAAACAAAATAGAGAATTCAAACAACTAACATTTGGCATGTAACATGGTTTCCAAAAATTACCTGAATTATTCCCTTTACTCTCCACACTCCATGTTTGAGGACAACAATCTGGGGGTCATCCGGGTGCAATTCCTTAAGCTCCTGCCTAACAGCCTCAACATTCGCATTGTGCTCCGTGGACAGCTGAATCGCAGCCATCCCACCAGTGTTACCAACTCTCCTACCCAACACAGCACGGGAATCTCCAAGACTCGCCACAAACAGCGTCTGCCGACAAATAACCCCAACCAAACAACATGTCCCAGTGGTCGCAATCTGCGGCCGGGAGTTCCACAACTCTGAAACAAGCGCCGTGAACCCCTCCTCAGTCCGCCGAAACGCTTGTTGAATGGCCTCAGATGTCACAACACTCTGTGACTCGGCCAATATCGCTGCAGCACAAACACCACCTCTAAAACAACAAGAACAAGAATAACAACACACAAATGGCTCCAAAAGAACCTAAACATAGAACAATCATTAACTTTCCACATAGACACATAATAATATTTAAAAAAAAAAAAAAAAAGAGAGGCCGATAGAGACACATAGCTCCAACACTATTAATTACACAGCACACACCTTTCAACTGTTCACGACTCTTGTGAAGACTGAAAAGCACAATTACTTTTAAGCGCAAAGATAAAATTCACGAAAAGCGAACATCACTTACAACTAGAAACAGTTCAAACTCACGATTGGAATCGAAGTGAAGCTATATAAGGAGAGAGAGTGAGAGTGAGAGGGAGGGAGAGGGAGGGAGAGTTTGAATCGCGAACCTTGGAGATTACGGAACAAGTTATCGCAAACGTATCGCGAGCAATCAGGGCCGCCGTGGCCGTCGTAGACGCCGACGAAGGTGCCGAAGGGTCCGGACTCGATCTGGCTCTGGTCCTCGAGTACCTGATTAGCCTGAACGACGGCCATGGAGAAATCGCCGGCGGCAAACCTTCCGATGTCGCGGAACCAGAGGAGGCCGTCCTTGCATTCTCTTCCAGCATTGGCGTCGTCACCTTGCCCGAACGGCTTCCAACATCGCGCGATAATACTCATCAATGCCTGGTGCATCCCACATCTCTCAGAAACCCTAACCCTAGGCCCCCAACACCAGAACCTTTCCCACTGGGGGCGCCGTGCTCCGAATCTGAAGAAGGAGAGAGGAAATTAGAAGGGTGTGGAAGGGAAAAAGAATGAGATGGTGCGCAGGATAAGCAGGGGGCGCAGGTTAACGCGAAGGAAAGCGTGTGTTCGGTGGTAGAGGAACAGGAATGGGCTGCTTCCTTCTCTTGTTGGGAGAGCGTGGTGTGGGGAAGCCCTTCTTGTTGCGTGCTTTTCTTTTCCATCTCTTTTTTTTTTCTTTTTTTTTCTTTTTCCACTTTGCCCTTCCATGTACAATACTCTTTTTCATTATTTTTCTTTGCTTTTCTTACTTAACTCCTCTCCTTAATCCTGCTCAAAGTGTACAGATGAGTTAGATTGATTCATTCTATTCAATTCATATTTTATTTTCAAGATTACATGTATATTTTTAAAAATCAATCTTATTATTCATTTTATATATTATAAAAATAAAGATGCCATTATTAATTAAACTAAAAGAATATATTGACTTGCACATTATGTTAATGGAAAAGCATAATTCAAGTGCATTCACATATAGAAGTATGACTCTTGAAATCATTGTATTATTTGTACATAGACATTTTCAGTCATTATTGATATCCAGCAATAAGCAACTTATCCAAAATTGTTGCTGTTTTGATGTTGAATGAAAAAGGTGTAAATTATTTGTAAGGGAAAAAAATGATATTACCATTGCACCTTTTTAATGCAAGTTTTACTGTGTAGTGGTTTACCATCATAAGTGCATTGCACTATCTTGATTTATTTTTACTTGTAACAAAATTTCCAATTCAGAGAGTCCGTTATAGTTTGGAAAGTAGACAAATGTTGATGGGTGAAATGTCACGAGTATCACCATTCAAGAGACGCTCAGCGATAACAGCACTAGCAGCATCACTAGGATGGTAGGTATCCCAGAAAACATACTTGGAACGATCCTCACAAACTTTTGAACTACGATTGCATGGAATCAAGCCTCCAAATCGACCAGCCATGTGACAGCATGCACTATCAGGGTTCTCAAAACCTGTTGCACGATGAAATCGCAAGTTTTATTTATAAAGGACTATGCAATTTTGGGTACTGAAATGAAAAAACAAAATGTCACACACCATAGTCCTTATAACTCATGAGGATATCTTCCATAATATGATAAACATCTGCATAAACAAATAATGACCCTTCCAATTTTGTCCTAAGCTCTTCAACAAGACTCTTCAATTGTGTGTTGAATAACTGGGCTAGCTCATTTGGGAAAGTGACACATTCATCTCCATCATAGGGGTTTAAATTTATATCCCTCATATATGGTATACACCCAATAGGCCCTACATTTGCCACAACAATTTTTCTAGCCCCTAGACGGAATAGCCGCTGCAAATAGTAACTGCATGAGATCAACAAACAAAAGTAGAAACATGATTGAAACAAAACTTTTTTTTCTAGGTTCTTGGTAAAATTACAGTGAGTTGTAGTCTGAGTCTTGATGCCAATGAGGTCACAAATGATTCTGGAGATACCAACACCCTCTCTGGAATTGACAATAAGGGTGTCAAATAGTTATCCAAAAAATCATTTGAGCCTAGTGCTACTGTAAAGAGGGCCTTCTTAAACAAATTGAGAGCCTCAGGGTAACCAATTAAGGAGATGATTTCTTCCCTGGTGTTTGCAAAGTTGTCAATCTGTGCATCGAAGTTGATTCGACCACCCTGTTAATTTAACATAAAAGTGGTATACAAATTATGAGTTTAATTTGAACGACATTATACAAAGTGTATTCTAATGAAATTCTAAATTATATTATGAACAATTCATTCTGATTAAGGAGTATGACATCTAGTAGTAAGGATAGGATGTATAGTGTAGTTTAAACTTGAAATTTGGAAGTTTTATGCTCACAATAATCGTACATAGAACTTAACCAAACATCAGTTGAAGCATAAACTTACAAAAATTTCGCCAGAGTTATTAAGAATTCCACCTGCACCAGAGGCATAATTAACACCCTTTAGCACTGTTGATCCAGTAGTAGTGGGAGCCAAGTAAGGAGGAGAAAAGCCAAGACCCAGTTTCTGATCTGGTACCATACATCACACAATTCTCTAAGAGAAATAAACAATAATTGACACATGTATTTGAACAAAGAAATAAAGAAATATAAAACCTAATGGGAATGAGAAACTCTTACTTAAAACATCAACCACTGTTTTTCCGTTGCTGAAACGACCAGTGGGAATTCCAAAATCAATCCCAAACGGGTCATGGTTTGCTTTGGCCAGTGAAACAATATAGTTGTTGTTGCCCACATCGACCAAAGAATCCCCAAAAACAAAAGACGCTGGTACATCGTTTGAGAAGCCAAACCTAAACAATAAGAAGATCATAAATAAGACTCCTCTTTTCAGATAAATAGCCATCAGAAAGGACATCACAGAAAACTAATTGTATCGAATGTTTCACGCGGTGACTTTGTTTTGATTTGGTTTTCTCTTCAAAGACGGGACATGCAATGAGTTTTATAATGTGACAGGACAAGGTAAAATACCCAAATAATTGCCACACTGTTACACTTGTTGATGTACATCGTGGACCCACCAAGAAATTTCATAATATTGTGTGGAAAATGAGCTTAAAAACACTGCTCCTCCTGTTTTTCATTCTACAGCATCAAAATCGCCGCACAACGTGAGAACGAAGGCATTGCCCGTGAAGAAATGATTTAGTCAATAAATTGACAAGGAACAGCATCGCAATTATGAAATGATCCTAATCTTCCTAATTTATCCTACAGTCATAACTATTTTTAAATAGAATTTGAAATTTTTTATAATAAATTTTGTTATTTGGATTGAATTTTTTTAAATACTTTTACCAATTAATCAGATAATTTTGCGACTTTTTTTCATAAATAATACTATTTTTTAAAAATATTTTCTAAAATAAGCACATCCGAAACATTATTTACACAACTAAGCACTCTTTCATGTTCACGTATTAAAATAATCGATTATTTTATATTATGATCGATTATTTCGCACGATCAATTCTCGCTCAAGTCGAAGAAACCCTTCGCTTGAGCGAGGAAATATGTAACAAAGGGGTAATCACCGGTCAATTCTCGCTCAAACGACAGGTATTTTCGCTTGAGCGAGAAGTGATTAAAATATGTGGTGACCCAAGTTGCGTTATGTGGCTAACTGCATTGGACGTTTAGCCACATAATGCAACTGGGTCACCACATATTTCAATCACTTCCGCTCAAGCGAAGTACCGTCGCTTGAGCGAGAATTGACCCGAGATTTTAGATAGCGGTTCTAGAACTAACCGCTATTAAAAATATATTTTAGATAGGGGTTAACGTGGAACCGCTATTATATGTTCACTTTTTAAGAGCGGTTAAAATGTTAACCGCTCTTAAAAGTGACACATATATAAAAGTGACACATATATAATTTTACATCAAATATTATTTCTTCTTATATACATATAATTGTTAAGATTTTTATTATCCTCCTAATTTATTATTAATTTCTAAAAAAATTATAATATCAAATAAATCAAAAAATTAAAAAATGTTTAATCATACAAATAAATTTAAATATAATATTTAATAATATATTTTAAAAATATTATTTTACTACTTTCAACAATAAATCTAAATATATTATTAATTTTAGAAATATACAAATCTTTTTAAATACCTAATTTAAAACTATAAATGTTAAATAAAATATTATAACATATTATATATATATATATATATATATATATTTTAGTTAGTTTTTTTTTCTTAACAAAATAAAAATAAAACTATATAGAATTCGGTTGTCGGAAAATCGAATTCTAAATTGTTTGAAAAAAATTATAAAATACAATTACGTTTATGTTTCGTATTCCAGAAAATCGAATTCTCAATTTAACAAAAAACTGTGCTATCTAGGTAAATAAAACCTACAGTATGCTATTTGAGTAATTAAAAAACGAATACGTGCTACTGTAGAAAAAATTTCTTATATTTTCAAATAATTGGTTATAATCGATTACTTTTTCAAATAATCGATTATATTTTCAAATAATTGGTTATAATCGATTACTTTTTCAAATAATTGAGATTTTAGATAGCGGTTCTAGAACTAACCGCTATTAAAAATATATTTTAGATAGCGGTTAACGTGGAACCGCTATTATATGTTCACTTTTAAGAGCGGTTAAAGTGGAACCGCTATCATATATGTGTCACTTTTAATATCATATATGTGTCACTTTTAAGAGCAGTTAACATTTTAACCGCTCTTAAAAGTGAACATATAATAGCAGTTCCACGTTAACCGCTATCTAAAATATATTTTTAATAGCGGTTAGTTCTAGAACCGCAATCTAAAATCTCGGGTCAATTCTTGCTCAAACGACGGGTACTTTCATTTGAGCGAGAAATGATTGAAATATGTGGTGACCCAAGTTGCATTATGTGGCTAAACGTCCAACGCAGTTAGCCACATAACGCAATTTGGGTCACCACATATTTTAATCACTTCTCGCTCAAGCGAAAATATCCGTCGCTTGAGCGAGAATTGACCGGAGATTACCCCTTTGTTACAGATTTCCTCGCTCAAGCGAATGGTTTCTTCACTTGAGCGAGAATTGACCCGAGATTACCCATTTGTTACAGATTTCTTCGCTCAAGCGAAGGGTTTCTTCGCTTGAGCGAGAGTTGATTGCGCGAAATAATCGATCATAATATAAAATAATCGATTATTTTAATACGTGAATAGTAAAGAGTGCTAGTTGTGTAAATAATGTTCCGGATGTGCTATTTTGGAAAATATTTTTAAAAATAGTATTATTTATGAAAAAAAATCGAATTTTGGACTCTTCATGATAAAAAAAAATCCGACCAAAAAACTATACTTGTGGAAAAAATAACTTTAACAATTAATATTATAGTTAAAATATATATGGACTCACAAAAATATTAAAAAAAACTACAAACAACTATCAATTTTTTTTTATCAAATATTCCGTTATTATAATTGATTTTTTAACTAATGAAAAACATAGAAAGTAATTGAAATTATTTATTAAACTTAATTAGTAAACTAACTAAAAACTCATTAGTTATACAATACGAACTTTTTTATCCGTGATTAACAAATTAAAGATTAAAAAATAATTTGTTGAATAAAAAGTGTCTAATAAAATTAGTTAATAATAAATGCCATAATAGAACATATTTAGTTACTTATTTCAAATAAACTAATGGAAACAAAAACTAGCAATGGTGTGTGAAAGTTTTCCCTAGATGTTAATGTTCAGCGTTTTACCTCATTTCCATTCTTGACTGACAAATGTTATTAAAAGAAGAGAGACTCGTGAAAAGAAAAGAAAAACATGAAAGATGAAATAATTGTATATATTTTTTTTATTGAAAAGAATTACAGAAGCTATGAAATATATACACTCAGAAAGGAGTAAGAACGGGAAAAGTTTATAACAGAAAAATTAACTAACCACAATACACAGTACAAAACAGAAAGTAAAATTAACTATTTCTATAGTTGAATTATTATTGCGTAACACCCCCAAGCTAGAATGGATATCAATCATTCCAAGCTTAGATTGAAAATGATCAAAAGACATTGGGCTAAGTGGTTTCGTCAGGATGTCAACAATATGGGAAGAGCTGGAAATGGAAAGCAAATGAATTAAGCCAAGTTGCAGCTTTTCTCGGATAAAGTGACAATTCATTCTATGTTTTTAGTTCGTTCATGAAACATAGAATTGAATGTTATATGTAAGGCAAATTGGTTGTCACAATATAGAGCAATTGGAGCTATATCCGTTAGTTGAATGCTATATGTAAGGCATATTAGTTGTCACATGTGGCTTATGACAAAGCTTTATACTCAGCTTTGGAAGAAGATTTTGAAACAGTGGGTTGTTTCTTGCTCTTCCAAGTGATAAGAGCATTGCCAAGGAAGAAACAACATCAAGTAACAGATATTTTAGTATCAAGGCAGGAACCCCAATCAGAATCTGTGAAACCTTTCAATTTAAGATCAGAGTTTGAAGGGAAAAATAGACCTCTACCAGGTGCATTCTTGATGAATTTGAGAATTCTCAAGGCGGCCTGATAGTGAACATCTGTTGGTTGTGCCATAAATTGACTTAGATGGGTGACATAAAAGCTAATGTCTGGTCTAGTATTAGTTAAGTAAATTAATCTCCCCAACAATCTTTTGTAAACTTCAGGATCATTCAATGGAGTCCCTAAACTTTTATGAAGTTTAAGAGTGTAATCCATGGGTGTTTCACAAGGTTTTCCAACAAGTAACCCTGCACTTTCAAGAAGATCCATTGCATATTTTCTCTGACAAATAGAGATCCCTGTGTGAGATCTAGAAACCTAAAAACCCAGAAAATACTTCAAGTTACCAAGATCTTTGATAGTGAAGGCAACATCAAGTAATTGCTTCACTTTGGTAATTTCATCTAAGTCATTTTCAGCTAATACCAAATCATCAACATAGACAAGAATAATTGTGTATGAGACAAAATTGCTTTTAACAAATAAAGAATAATCAACTTTAGACTGAGTATAACCAGATTGAATTAAAATAGTAGTGAGTTTAGCATTCCACTGTTTACTTGCTTGTTTTAAATCATAGAGGGATTTTTGCAATTTGCAAACTTGAGGAGAAGAGGTAGAAGAAGACAGACCTGGGGGCAAATGCATATAGACCTCCTCATGGAGATCACCATGAAGAAAGGCAATATTAACATCTTACTGATGAAGATACCAATTCTTGGCAGAAGCAACAACAAGTAAAGTCCTTACAGTAGTCATCTTGACAATAAGATTGAAAGTGTCTAGATAATCTAATCCTCCGTTTAGGTATATCCTTTGACTATTAATCTACCTTGTATCTCTCAATACTACCATTAGAATGGTATTTGATCTTAAAAACCCATTTGCATCCTATTGCCCTTTTATCATGAGGCAAATATGTGAGAGTTCAAGTATTATTTTTTTCCAAAGCTGCAAGTTTAGTTTGAATAGCATTTCTCCAACAATCATGTTGAATGGCCTCAATATAAATAGTAGGTTAAAGCAATGAGGGGGAGATTGATGGAAATGTTCCTGCATTCCCAAGAGATGATTTTGATGATGATTCAAGTCAACTACATTCAAGTCAACACCGTTCAAGATGAATTTAAGGACAAACTGAATTTATGACGTAGGTGATAAAGATGATTCAAGCAAGCCCAAGATGATTCCTGAAGACTAGATAGAGTCTTAGAATACTGAATATGGAGGTACAAGTTAATGAAGTAATATTATGCATAAGCCTCCAAAGCACAAGTGTGATAAAATTCATAACATGATATTTTTCATTGTCATAATTAATTATGATGCACCAGAAATGAAAAA